CAAGTAAATAAATAGGAATTAAAATATGAATTAAATGTCAAAATAGATAAGAGAGAAAATCAAATTTTTTAGAAAACCAAAGTAATTTAGAAACTCTTGCCTATTGAAAACTTCTCCTACACGAATTATGGATGTAAACTTAAAAATAAACTATATACAATCTATCGAAAAATAATACTAAAAAAGCTAGTAAATAGCAAGTTTTAATCTAACTTGCCTAGAACTACACATTTGAATTCCTGAGAGTGGATTAGCGTTTGCTAAACTAAGTGAGGTTGAGTAGTTTGTAACTGCTAACTGTATAATTAGAGGGCGCTAATACAATGTAAAGTTGAGTGTTAAGCTGCTACCTGTGAGAGCTATTGTAAAAACCTATGCTGTAAACTTTAAAGAATGTAAAATGCTTGTTTTGTGTGTAAAAATGTTGCTTACTCTGAGGCATTGTAAAAATGTGTAAAAAATTGTAAAAATTGTAAACTGCTACTGTATATAAAAATTTCTTAGGAAGTAAAAATTCGAAAAACCCTTTTTCAAGTAAAATTAAAAGTTCGAATAAATATTTAAATTGAATAAATTTAATTTAGTTTTAAGTTGAAAATTATTAAAAAAATTTTTTAGCATTTTAAAATCGCATAATTAAATTTTTTTATCATTTTAAAATCACAAATTGAAATAATAGAGAATTATTATAAGAATTTTTTTTTGTGCCAGACTGCATTATTTAAAACTGAAGTTCTATAAGTTTAATTAAAACTTTAACTAAGTACTGGCCAACAGTAAGGAAAATTAGAAAAAATTAGATAAAAAATCCACTCAATTCGGGCTATAGTTGAGATTTTTTAAAACAGTTGGCCCTTCATTAGTAAAGGAAAGAATCCAGTAAATGATTAAATATACATTTTTACAAATAATTAATAATTAATTAATATTTACAAGTATAAACCTTTTACTCTTCAAAATCCTCCATTAACCTCCAGTTAAGGTTTAAGGTAATATTATGGTACCATAAAGAGTTAAAAAATTAAAAATAAAAGTTAATGCCTGACGTCACGAAAAAAAATATCTTCTGAATCCATTTTAATTCCGCTTTACGATCCGTTTTGGGAAAAGAGTCCTTTATTCTGTTCGCCTGTACAGATTTCAAGGGAAAATATTGTTCAAATGGATTCAAGAGCGGTCAAAAATGGATATATCTATTGAAATATAATACCCAAAATTTTTCGCAATTACAATACTTCATTTACTTTTTACAAGGATATAAAATGGTTCAAATGAATATTGGATTCATTTATGGAATTTTATGACTCAAAGATTTCATCACATAATTCATGAGGAAGAATTAAATTTTATCTTTCAAGTTTAACAGTCCACTGGTTGAATGACCCTGTTCGATATCTTTACTGGACATGAAAGCCAGCACATTGTCATGAAAGAAGATATTCATTCAGTGTATCCGGTTTATTACCCTTTGGAGATATTTAAAGAAATGTTATTTTGCATCTATCTATATACGGAAATTCCTGTCTGCCAATCCTTTTGTGATATCTGGAGCATCATTTTCGGCACTTTTATCCGTACCTTTCTTTGCATTGAAACATTATCATAGTTCTTTCATGCTATAAATATTAAGATTTTTCTGGTATAGAAATAAACGAAATGGGATTTTAAAGTTTTATATGAATCGAAAACATTAATTTTTAATCTCTACATATAAAAGAAAGAGTCTTTCTGTCTGTGTGTCTTTCGGTCGTGCTGCACGTAAGCTAATAGACCCAGGGCTACGAAATTTGGTACGTAGTTGCATCTAGACAAGAGCCAGTGCACCTCGAAGCGAATTTTTCAAAATTCGAATCACATTTTTTTATTTTATCGTTTTTGATGAAATGGCATCATTTTAAATGGTGTCCGCCGATAACATCGCGGCAAAAACATCGCGGACGAAAACGTCGCAGAGAAAACAAGGCAAGGCGAAAACGTCGTGCTACAAACCATCGTGGGAGAAAACATCGCAAAGAGAAAACATCGCAAAGAGAAAACATCGCAGTTCTAAAACATCGTGGTACAAAACATCGTCGTCGAAAATAAAGCGGTTCAAATACTTCGCAGTTTAAAAATATCGTCGTCGAAAATATCGTGGTAAAAAATAAAGTATCTACAAATCATCGCGTGACGATAACATCGCAGACATGCTTTTTTTCAGACTTTAATAACTGTAAATAGATATTCCCATAACAATTTGTGAGCGCAAAATAGAAAGTATGATAATTTGTTTTCATATTTTATATTAACTAATTTTTGCTGAGGAAATAAGAAGGAAACTTAAGCATAGAAAATTAATGCAACTTATAGCACTTAATGGAATTTTAAACCGACATAGTTAACTAACAAAGACCATTAATAAATATTTTATAAAGTTTTTACTGGTAATTTTTTCATAAAAAGTATAATCTATAAGTTGCATTTAATTTTCTATGCTTATGTTTCCTTCTTACTTTTTCAGCAAAAATTTATTAGTTAATCAAAAAATGTGAAAGTAAAAATTATTATTCTTTACATCTTGCGCTCTCTCAAATTATTATGGGGAATATCTATATACAGTTATTAAAGCCTAAAAAAAGCATGTCTGCGATGTTATCGTCATGCGATGATTTGTAGATACTTTATTTTTTAACCACGATATTTTCGACGACGATATTTTTAAACTGCGAAGTATTTGAACCGCTTTATTTCGACGACGATGTTTTGTACCACGATGTTTTAGAACTGCGATGTTTTCTCTTTGCGATGTTTTCTCCCACGATGTTTTGTAGCACGACGTTTTCGCCTTGCGTTGTTTTCTCTGCGACGTTTTCGTTCGCGATGTTTTCGGCTGTAACCATTTTGAATACTTTCATTCTTTCAGAAATGGAGTTGTGGCAACAGTTTTTTTTTTCGTTAAGTGCTTTGTATACTGTACTGCTGACTGTTGAAAATATGAGAAAAAATATTTATTGTTTATTTCACTATTTTTAAAATACTTTTTTTTACTTTTACACTGCTAAGGAGGACTACTGACCGGGAACAAGCCCTTGCAGTGTGATGTTCGCCCTGCAGACATTTATTAAGTCTAAATTTAAAAAAAAAAAAAAAAAAAAAAAAAAGGTTACAGAGTCACATCTAGATAAGGAATACAAAGGACTACCTTGAATACATATGACATTCCTGATAGCATAGATTAAAAAAAAAAAATACTTAGAAGTACAAAGCTGCATTGATACAAAACTGGTAAAGGTTAAACAAAAACAGTAAAATTTAAGACTAACATTGGAATTTCAAGCCTGCAGTTATACATCACACTGACTTACTATTATACACTTACTATAATTCCGCACATTACTAATGAAAAAACCTATTATGCAATATATTACTATAATACTGAACACACCTAACATAATAAACTGGTACTACAAATAAACACACCATATACACTGCTCGTATCAGAAAAGTACACACTGACTAGTAGCTGATACTACAAAATAACACCAACATAACTGCTCGTATCAGAAAGTAGACAATTCTGTACATGATGCTGTACTGTAACGCTAAAACTAATCAAAAGAACACTAGATAACCTTTGGAAACAGTCACAGTGAAATTAGAAATATAATATATTGTAGCAGAGTTAGAATACATTTGAAAACATTAAATCCAGCAAAATATTTCAATACATATTAACAAAGTTCTACAACCAAGAAAGTCTGGTTCAATACTACTATTATACATCACACTTACTTATCATTATACGACCCTAAACTATTATACCCCACATTAATAGAAAAAAATTATACAAGATACTTAAAGGAATACTGTACATACACTGAAATAAAATAGCGAATACTACAAAATAACAATCAATATACAATGGTGCTTATCAGAAAGTTGGTCTGCGGCCACGAATTTGTTAGAAACTGTTGCATTTTGCACATACTATAAACTGTTACAAAACATTTGCACACAATATTTCATGGTACTAGCCGAGAGCTCCATATATGTATTTACTAGTATACCGCAAACTTATTTGAAAACATAACACAACGCACTACTACTTAACAGGTCAATACACTAAGACAATATGTAAATTAAATACCAGAATACAATACAAAAATTAAGTAAACGCAATAAAGTTAAAAATTAATGATGGATAGAACGACACTGAAGTACAAATAGACAGACATTGATTGTGGTAATCTGCATCTAGGAGGTAACATGTTCCAGCAAAGTTATTCATGTACTGCACTAAACCTGGCTGTCATGCATATACGTAACATAGGTACTATGGCATGCCATTAGTCTCTAAATTGTCCTAATTTCAGTAGTTGAATATTATCGTATAGTAAGATACCAAATATGTAAGGTAGAATTATGAAAGTTGTTGGTATAGAATTGCCTGCTGTAGCTGCTGCTGACACCGCTTCTGTTCAACAGAATTCAAGAGCACAAATGTCCATTACTCGATGAATCTGATTCAATGCGAGCTTACTTCTCTTGAGGGTGTCTGACCACCCGGACCAGTGTGCTTCAGAGTTTTTTTTTTAAATGAAATGGTATCGTGAGAGAGCATTCGAAAGCAAAGTGATCCGGATCACCTAGTGTTCCACATCTACAACTGTCTGAAGTAGCTAATCTGAAGCGCCGTAAATAGCTTGGAAATGTCCAGTAAAGAAATGTGTAAGATGAGCACTACTAGTGACCAGATTCAGACCAACTTGGGGAAGAAACGAAAGGTTCTGCGGCCTGTGGTGAGTTGTTCCACTCTGTTGCCAATTTCTAAACATTTTGAGTTCAGTAATCTTTTTATAAATAGGAAACTGGTGCTTTTAAGGGGTGTTACAAGGCATATTCAAGTCGTTAGCGCTGCTAGCTTAGCAAGCCTATCGCCCTCTTCGTTCCAGCAATGCCTACATGCGCTGGAACCCAGCTCAAGTAGGTCGTTGGGACTCATGAATCTGAGTAGAGCATCCCTAATAATGTGGACAGAACCGCTTTGCGTTGAGTTCTTTAATGGCCAGTAGGCTCGATGCTGAATCACTCAGTATTCTGACTGGTCCTGTTAGATTTTGCTTAATATAATCTAATGCTGCCTTAATTGCTACAAGTTCCGCCTGAAATACACTATTGTAATCTGACAGCCTCTGTGACCAAGTGTAGCAGATAGTATTGTCTCGCATGACGCAGAAGCCGCTACCTGTGCCAAGCTTCGTTTTTGAACCATCCGTATAAACACACATTTCGTGCCTAGCCGGAATTAAGGGTTCTATGGTGACCTTGTCATCATAATTTATGTCCGCCGGATGTCCCAGAGAACGAGGGGAATGATCCTCGTAATCACGAGCGCGGTAATGGGTACCCCACAAGATAAAATCTTCCTTTATGCGAAGGATCCGTGCTTGTCCAGCCTCCCTCTCCACAACAAGATCCAATGGTGGTAACCCAGCGAGCACCTGCAATGAATCTGTCGAGGTGGTCCTATAAGCTTTAGTAATCATTAGGAGCTCGAGACGCTGAATAGAACTGAGTTTCCTCCTCAGGTGTCCATTGAGATGAATACCCCATGCTGAAGACCCGTACAAAATCACCCTCCCTGTTATTGTGCGATACCAGATCTTCAACATGCCTGGTCTAATGCCCCAATACATGCCAGTAGTTCCCAGTAGTTTATTCGTCTCATGTTATTGGTGAAAGATACTACTTTTTGGTGTATATTTTGCAAATGTGGAAGCCAGTTGAGGCGATTGTCTATGATGACACCTAGATATTTCAACTGGGAAACAGTCCTAACTGGATGACCTAATTTTTAAGAAACTGAAGTGTTTAACATGATTTTATTTTGCAACGGGAAGTTGGTTAATTTATTTATTAGGATAATTATTATTTATATTAAGTTATATTGCTTATTTCATGCTGCTTATTTTCTTTTGATTTTTGCACACGCAACACACACAGCGCAATCTTCTTATTCTGACGCGCATGTGTCTCACGAGGCACAACAGAAAGAATTCTTTTTTCGTTTTCTCTCTCTCTTTATTATCTAATGGCCAAGAGGTTCGTATATTTTGAATTATGACGTTCACAAAGTACAATTTTCTCTGGTTATTACTTTCTGATGATAGTTTCATTCTTTTAGAAACGTGGGTTTAGCAACAGGTTTTCATTCATTGCTTTGGGTACTGGACTGCTGACTGTTTTCTCTTGAAAATAGGAGATTTATTGCTTATTCCATTGTAATTTTTTATATTATGTTTTAATTATATATAACTTTAATTATATAAAAAGTTTTGTATGATTTTTTTTTGGAAACAAAGTTCTTAACTTCCTTTGTACCATTTGAGTTCGTAAGATTTTTCAACGGGAAGTTGGTTAATTTATTTATTAGGATAATTAGTATTTGTATTAAGGGATATTGCTTATATCATTGTAATTTTTATAATATGTGATACATTTTTACTGCATTTTTTTTTTTTGATAAAGTTGTTCTGCAGAGTAAAATTCTGTGCAGCCTTTTAAGTTTAATGTTTGGTATTCCCTTTAGGGAACTGGGGTTTTTAGAACAATGGGCATGTTAGAGAAAAGCGTTTCAAATATATCTAAAGGTATGTTTGAAACTTCAGTGACACTGAAAGACAAAACAATTTATTTTCAGCTTGTAGAGGCACTAGGTATTTTTTGGAAGCAGGAGAAGAGAAAAATGAGCAACGCCTTCGCCGAGAATCGAACCGCGGACCTCTAGAATACCCGCCCAGAATGCAGACCACCGCACTACGAAGGCATGCTAACAAGGCGGGAGAAGTACCTTATATACTTCCCCCTTTTAAACGGCAACTGGGACTGGGGGTCACAATCGCCAAATCTTGGGTGTGGAGAATCATCATCCACCACCCTTTTAGTTCGGGCGCCATTGTAGAGAGTTTAGGCATTTTGGAAGCAGGAAAGATGAAAAATATGTAACGCTTTTGCCAAAAATTGAACCACGGACTTCTGGAATACGCGCCCAGGCTGCAGACCACCACACTACTAAGGCATGCTAAGAAGGCGAGAGAAATACCTTATAAGCTTAGAATAAAAATAATCAAAATCTTTTGCGTAAATGCAGTTTTACTTCGAGGTGCATGTTATAAACTTTAATGCTACTTGATATTTTTCATTCTTTTTTTATTAGAACTGCTTTTCATATGTTATGTTACCCAGAATATGTATCTGAGAAGAAATTTATCGGGGGGATATATATATATATATATATTTGAGATATACTCGTTGATTCTTGTTATTAGTGTTGCATAATTCAAATCAGACCTTTCTCTGCCAAACTGTAATTTATATTTCCTTTTCGATATTTCTGTCGCATGATATTTTTATTATGTGTACCTTAGACTTTGGCTTAGAATTTCATATATTCAGCAATACTTAACCATCAAATATATTCAAAAATAGAATAATATGTATATAAGTAATTTGGTTGATTGTTTGAACGCTTGAGAGTCTTCATAATTTGATAGCATAAAAAAAAATAAAAAAAAAAATTCGTAGCATTTGTATAAGATCTCGAATAAGTTTTACGAGAATAAATAAGTAAATAAAATCCATTCGGAAATATTTAATGCAAATGCATTTAGATTCCTTTACAGAATATGCTTAATGATTTCCTTAAATGCGATCCTGTAAACGACAACCTGCATTCTTGGAGAATTTATGTAACCGTTTTATTCAAAATATTTCTAACTGCAGATTCAGATCTTCAAAGGCTGAAGTTGTTTTCTATAGAAAACTTCATTCAGGAAGACAAATCGTAAGTTAAGCTTTACGAAAATTATCTCATTAGTCGAACTGAACGGGAAACATGTTGAAAAGAAACCCAGTAAATATTCTCAGAGCACTTTTCATTTATCTTCTGAAACTTTCGTACAACTTTCACCTTTAAAAGGAAAGGGAACTTTTCAAGATTGATGGTTTCTGTGACGCCGAGGTTCTGTATGTTTACTTCATGTGCATTCCTGTCCTCAGATGAATACACAACTTTATATGTGCAGAGCTACTTGTTTTAATGCAAACAAATAATACAATTCTGTTGTGGAATGAATGTTGAAATATAAAGATACTTAATCTAATCTAGGGATTTTTAATGATATAAATTCCTTTCCCTTACATTTTTAGCCGAAGTCTGAGCACATTTGATGTGAGTTATGTTTCTTCATATCAATATTCTAACCATTATTTGAAACGAAGTACATTTCTAAAGCGAAACCAGTGATGTGTGAATTTTGACTTTCTATTGCTCATCGACTGGTTACAGCCTCGGGTCTGTCTACATTCTGGCTAACATCTTCTGTCCGAAATGTATGAAATTAATAAACGAAAACTGAAAGCTTTTAGATTTCATATTACGCTCAAAAGGGCGTTTTTTAACGTTCCATGTGTTACCTTTATTTATTAAATATCACGATCTTCGCACTTAAAACCATATAAAATTCAATTTAACAGCAATATCACAAAATATTTAACAAACGGCAAAACAGCATATCTTTAGAATTTCCGATACACAATCCCGCGCGCTGGAGATAAAAATGTGCCCCCCCCCACGTACAGTTTTGCCACTGATCGCTTTGAAATCGTTGAGCTTGATAATCCAATATTTGTTAAAGTTTTACACAATTTGAAATAGATAATATAATAAAACAAATTCGAAATTCAAAATTCGGGTTCCAAGTGCCCATGTTCGGTTGGAGGTATACGCTATTCAAAATTGGATGGCTCTAGGTACCGTCGTTTTTTCATAATGAGAGAAACACGCATGCATTCATGTAGATTCTTCATTATTTAGTTTCTTTAAATATAATAAATGGCGATAATATTTGGTGGCAACAATTTGAAAAGTGAACCACATTTTGAATTTGAAAAGTGAAACGATGCAAAATGCCGCTTTGAGACTAATAGCCCTTTCGGTCTAACGTCCCTTTGAGCTAAAAACTAGAAATTAAAAATAAAATTAATAAACTTGTAGTCTGAAACAGAAGTCATGATTAATAAATTGGTAGTGTTCCTAAATGAAGGAGTAAGAAAAGCTTAACATTCTACAATTCATTCTAAACATTCTACAGTTTTTTTTTTAACATTTTATTGAATTATTCTAGAAATTTTGTTCTTCGTGTCTTGAAAAATGATAATTTTATTAACCAGACTCTAAATTAGTTATGACAGTTTGAAATCCGTGGAAGGGAAATGAATATTTAACTATTATGTATCTTTTTCTGATTTTTTTTCTATTTCTGAAATATTTGTAAAATATTGTCGGTTACCTTGCTCCTGCTAACTCTTCCTTATATTTTGTTATAAAGAGGGGCGCATTTTTGTTAGTAGCCCACGGGCGTCGAATAGCTTAGGATGGACTTACTTGGGATCGCATATTTGTATACAGCTGTCTAAGTTTCTTTAACTTATTTTCCTTGATTTAGTAAAAGTTTATTATGCTACTAAACATATTACATGAACTGTAGTTACTCTCTATGTCTTTAGTAACTGTCTCTAAGTCAGATAAAGGTTTAAATAAACCTTTTTATTTTAACAGAATTTAGAACATAAATGCATGCTACTATAACAAAATCAATCATAACTCGTGATGATGTAAGTAAACAGCTCACCAGACGGAAGGAAGCACTAGACCTGGCAAGCTCAAATGGCTGCCATTACACAGTTAAACGCTCCCCCCTCCAAGACGCCATCCGATGAGACATAACCCTCACGGTCAACCCAGGGACACGATTTGTGTTTCACAAAGTCTGGGTTTAAGTAACAAAATTAAGCATTGGACGGACAGACATCCACCGCGAGAAAGAGCAAAGTTTGACATCGACCATCGCCCAGTGTTGACCAAAGACAGCCCATCCCCGAAGGACAACCCTCGATATCAAACCATGTAACATCCACACAACCAAGGGGCAGACAAGATATAGTCTGTCGGTCATAAGAAAAGCTTTCAGCAGTTAGTCTGCAGCTGCCTGTTGCCGTATAAACGAGCCTTGATCCCATTCTCCGTAGGGGTGTCATGAAGCTTAACTTTTAATTTTTCGATTTTGTCGTATTTAAAGATGAATTGGCAACCCTTGTTTCTCCCCTATTTGAAATATACCAGCCCTGCTGCTATAGCGACCGCCACCCGCCAGACAGTGTGGCAGAAGCTGTTCTTCTCGTAGACAAACAGTAAATAGTACCACATGGTCCCTGCAGAGCCTGAACATACCACAGTATAAACGATGGTTCTAGTCACTGAAAAGAGTGTTTTATCCTAGAAGTCGCGTCTGTCTAGATATAGATCAAGCCAGTACGCCAGGATTGCCAATCCCAGTTTACCCCTGGGGTGGCTATTTGAACATAGTTAGCCCAGGCGAATCTAGTTACCAGTGGGGCCACGAGGAGGCCTATGTCTGATTAGGACAGCGAGCTATACATTGAGCGTCACTTCACCGTAACTACAACCCCTCTCAGAAGGGCCACACCAAACCCCGGGTCTCCTCCCAATAAATTGTCTGTTCCGGAAATGCGGTCGAGCCCTTCCTTAACTCTTTCAGGTGCAGGAAAAGGCAATTAACTTTTTCAGCAAAACTCTTGTTTTATTTACTATATCAGGTGTTGACAATGAAATTAT